CTGGAAAACAAAACACCAGGGCGCTCAGTCTAAATCGCTCTCAGGCCAGGGATCCACAGGACAATGCTATGGAGAGGTTGGAGAAACCAGCTCCAGCGGGTAGGTGAGCAGCTCCAGGCAGCTGACCTGGCAGGCACCAGCACATGCTGCCCAACAGCACCCGAGGCTGTGCCAAATCACTCGTCCTTTGTGGAAGAACAGAGGGAAAGAAACCAGATGACCCAAGGGAAAACACCTCTCAGAAGCAGTCCTCCTCCCTTCCCTGGAGACAGCATTCATGGCTAACCTATGGAACTCATTATTTTATTAAAAACCACCTGTCATCCCATTCATGAATTCCCATTCCTGAAGCATGTAACGGCGCACTCATGCTCCCTTGGTACATGATTTTGCGTATCAAAAAAACATCAACTCTGCCTGAATAAGCACGGCTGAGGTGCTTGTTCACATGGGCCAAGCCCAACCTCAGCAAACACTCCTGGTCCAGAGAGCCCCTCCGTTACATCGAACACAGCGGCACCAGCAATGCAAAAGCTCCGTTAAAACCTCTGAGGGTAAGGTGGGAGGATAATCAGCAGCCTAAAAATAGGACCAATAAACCACAGTTACAAACTCTGCTGAGACAATTAATTTATCCACATATTCCCGTCGTGTCATTCTCAATTGAGCAGTAAATGATGGGCCTAACGGGCACTTCCCCGCTAAATGCTGCATACAAGAAATCACAGCTCCAAACCTGATGCTGCTGACGGTACAGGTCCTGTCAGAAGCAAAACCTTCAAACATTTCTCCTTCTCATTTCAGACAGGTCTCAAGCATCAAGATTCCTTGGTTTGGAGGAAGATATGGAGAGGAAACGGGCTCTAGTCAGGTGTTTTCTTTCCATTTCCTCATCTCACACCTGGTGGAAGTCAAGTCCTTCCCCCTAAAGATGGAGGGGCAACCAGCCAGCCTGTGCCACCTCCTGCCCACTCCTGCTGGGACACCTCTTAACAGTACTTTCTCTCCTAAAAGGGGATGGTGAGTTCCATGCACACCCAGGGAGCAGTGGTGTCGAGCAAGGTGGCCACCCAAACCCCCGTCCTTGCAGAGCAGCTTATTTACAGCAGTAGCTGAACTATTTCTACCTGATTTTCCCAGTGTCCTGAGAGCCCAGCAGGTCCAGAGGAATGTCATCTCTTAAATAACCCCAAGCCTTGTGTTCACACGGAGCAAATGGACTCATGCAATCAAATTAAATGCTGCAAGTTTATCAATGTTTCCTCCAAGTGCCTCAAGGATAACAAGTTTAGTAGAAGCTATTTAGAAGAAAAACAGGACATCGGAGATAAACAATACACTCTTTTAGTACACCTCTGCTTCCTGTGCAGTGGCTTCACTGAAGGTCTGGAGGAGGAGATGGATTGCATCTCATCCAGCTTGCAGATAGCACTGAACCAGGCCTAAAAGCAAAGCCCTGCCCCTGGGACACACAGCCCCTGCATGGGGACAGCCCGCGTTGGGAACAGCTCTGCTGGGATGGCCCCAGGGATGGGAGCTCACCCCCAGCAGACAGAAGACACCAGGGAGGTGGTTATCCCCTTCTCCTGCCACTCTCCACAGCTGGACCACATCTGCATGCTGCCTCCAAAGGTGTTGACAGAGAGGGACAGGTCCTGCGGAGACTCCTAAGACGGCCAGGGGGCTGGAGCAACAGCAGCAGCCCGAAACATTTTTGAGGACCAGATGAGGTTTCTCAGAACCAAAAAACCTCCCACAGTCTTTCCACGCTCTTTTCTTCCCCTCCATTTTGCCACCAATAGAGGGGAAGGAAAACCCAAGCTGTGCTTTCCAAAAGCTAGGTGTATATATATATGTCTGTTTACATACACACGTATATAGAGATCTTAATCTGGTACAGAGGAAAGGGGTATGAACAAAATCTAACAAAACCTCTTAATTTTTGTGCAAAACAGTCATACAGCAACATCTGCTCGCCATTTCCAACTGACCTCAATACCGCCTTGTGTCACAAGGGCTCAGTTTTGTCCGTCTCTCCATTTTCCCGGAGAAAGGCCACAGCACAACACCACTGTACAATGCAGAGAGGCAGCTCAGAGTGGAGAGTGGGTTTTTAACTTCTCTTTTCAGGCTCTCATGCCAACACATGACATCCCTGACTGGTCTTTGCAACTCAATCACAACAATCTCACCAGAATGATTTACACCATGGCGGTACCAAAAAATTCAGCTCTGCTGACTATAAATAGGAGAGAGCTTAATCTAAAGAAAGCACCATTCAGGTGGTTTGCAATTAAAAAAAAAAGCAGCATGTTCCCCAAATGCAACATCCTTACTCTCCCTGATGTTGATGCATTAAGTAGGGTTCCCTTATCACTCTCATTATCCCCCCAAGGATGCTGCCAAGCACTCCACCAGGAAAGCAGACTACATCTCTGCTTTTCCGAAGTCATCAATCACTGCTAATTACCTGACACTGATTACAAACAGGAGGCTTAGCAGAAGACTGCCATGCCATACCATGCCAGCCACTCCCTCTAGTAGCTAAGACAAAAACAACATGCAAGTTTTGGAAGCAGCGAGCGAGCCAGCCTGGTGGGATAGCCTGGGATTTCCTCTGAGAGGGTCTGCAAGCATCTCAGTGGGTTATGGGGTTTTCAAGCTGAATTAGGGCATTTTGGGCTAGTGTGGACAACCTGCTGAGAAAAAAGAAAAATCTCATGGAAAATATGTCCATCAAGCAGTGAGTCACCAGAAGAGGTAATGGAGCTGTGACAAGGATCCCAATCTTACTACCTTATTAACACATTGATACCCAGCATGTAGCAGACACCCATGATCTTCTCCTGTTGAAGCTCCACCACTGGGGCATGTGGTTTCTTCATAGGTACACAACTGTACTGAGCAAAAACACCATCCTGATTTCCAAACACTGCTTAGGCTGGGCTCCTTGAAAGCCCATTTACTCACAGAATGGCTGAGGTTGGAGAGGACCTCTGGAGGTCCACCTCATCTTGTCCAAACACCCCTGCTCAAGCAGGGCCACCTAAAGCTGGTTGCTCATAACCAGATGGTTTTTGAATATCTCCAAGGATGGAGACTCCACAACCTCCCTAGGCAACCTGCTCAGTTGCCCTCATAGTGAAAAAGTGTTTCCTGTTGTTCAGAGGGTCCTGCCTGTGCTTCAGTTTGTGACCATTGCCTCTGGTCCTGTCAGTGGGAGAAAAGCCTGGCTCCATCTTCTTTGCACCCTCCCTGCAGGTATTTCAATACTTTAATAAGATCCCCCTGAGCCTTCTCCAGGCTGAACAGCACCAGCCCTCTCAGCCTTTCTTCACAGCAGACATGCTCCAGTCCTTTCCTCATCTTCATGGTCTTTCACTGGACTCTTTGCAGTAGGCCCACATCTCTCTTGCACTGGGGAGCCCAGAACTGGACCCAGCACTCCAGGGGTGGCCTCACCAGTGCTGAGTAGAGCGGAAGGATCGTTTTCCCCAGCCTGCTGGAAACACTCCTCCTAATAAGCCAGAAACGTGCCATTGTGGGGCTGCACGTTCAACTTGGTGTGCAACAGGACACTCAGGGTCTTTTCTGCTGAGCTGCTTTTCAGCTAGAAGGCCCCCAGCATGTCCTGGTCCCTAGGCTTGTTCCTCCCCAGGTGCAGGACTTGCACATCCCCTTATTGAACTTCGTAAGGTTCCCACTGGCCCATTTCTCCAGCCTGGTGAGATCCCTCTGGATGGCAGCATGACCCTCTGGTGTGTCACCTCCCAGTTGTGGTGTCACCTACAACTTGCTGAGGGTACGTTCTGCCCCATCACATTAATGAAGAGGCTAAGCAGGACCGGACCCAGCACTGACCCTTGGGGTACACCATTAGTTGCTGGCCTCCTGTCACAAACTGTTTATAAACAAGAAACTGTTCATAAAGAGCATGTCTCAACTCGAGTGGGATGCCCTGTGAGGGAGAAGCGGAGCGAGCTCTGCAGAGGTGGGGCTGTTTCTTTTACCCTCCCTCCTGTTTCCCAGAGACAGAACTTGCCTCTCTGCACAGGTACAAACCAGAGAAAATAAGAACCTTCTGGAACAACCTACTGCACATGCATAAGAAAGACTATATAAAGACCCCCACGTGTGTCGTTGTCAATCCACCTACAGACCAAGGTGGCTACTCTGTGACAATGTGGGATCCAAGGGTTGTGATTTCTCCTTTTCCTATCCCCTCCTCTTCCTCTTTCCTCTCTTGTGTCTGTATATATATATATATATATATATATATATTCATGTCTATAAGCTTTGTAGGAGTTGAATTGTGATCGGTTGATCATTGATGGGTTATTAGGAAAAGTCTCATCGCCAAAGTGCCTTTATTCAGATGTTTTCAGTTGATTGTTGACAGATTGTCTCCATTCACTCACTAAAGTGATCAGTTAATAAAGTCACCAGCACAATAGTTCCTCTGAGTCATCGTGGTGATGCAGCCCACCCTGCGGCTCTGCCGAGCAGAGACCGGCTCTTCCACCTGCACAGGGAATTCAAAAGATCCACTCGCGTTGTAACCCACTGCGTGGGATAAGACACCTCCAGCTAGTCTTTGTGCAGTGAACACACCCTCTGGGCCCAGCTGTTGAGCCACTTTTCAACCACCTCACTGTCTACTCATCCAGCCCATGCTTCATCAGCTTGTCTGTGAGGATCTTATGGGAGATGGTGTCAAAAGCCTCACTGAAGTCCAGGTATACAACGTCCACTGCTCTCCCTTCCAAGCCCGCCTCGTGGCCTCTCCACAAGTGACCAGCATGGGGAAGCCCCTTTAGCAGGACCCAGCAGGGATGCAGCCAGGGCAGCATCAGCAGCAAGGCAGAGTGAAATGGTACGTTTGTGTCCCCCTCCATGAGATAAAACCAATCGCTGAACTCCTTACGCCCCAAAATCAAAGCTGGGTGCAGGCGGTCCCAGGACACCAGGAAGGAAGGGGTGAGCAGAGGGACCTCACTTACCCCACGGTCTCCTCCCAGTCACACCAGAGCCGCTGCCCGATGCCCTCCATGCTGAGCTGGAACTGCTTCAGGCAGTGGTGCCGGATCATCCAGCCGTAGTCTGCCTCCTGGCATGCCGTCGCTGTGATGAAGTGATGGGCTGGAAGACAGGCGAGGGGCCAGCAGGGTTAGGCTCTGCTGTGGTGGCTCATGACCCAGTGACAGCCCCTTGCCCCACCACGCTGCCCCCCCCGCAGCTTTTCACACAGAGGGCATCTGCCAAAGCAAAGCTGGAGATCAAAGCAACCAGCTGGAGATCAAAGCAACCCCTCTCCCAAACACCTTCTTCAAAACCTCCTTCTCAAGGTTTTATTTCCCTCTTCACATCCCTCTGACCCTGCAGCATCTTCCTCCGTTACCCTCTCAAGTGCCTGACGCCAGGAAAGTCATAAATAAGTAAGGACCCAGATTTATTCTCTGCTGATCATGACACATGTCTCTGGACTTTAAATTCCCAGTGTTTTGGTTTACAGAAAGAGTAAGGGTGTGGGGGAAGCTGGGAAATAACCCCATGGCTCTCAGCCAGATCCTGGCTGCTGCCAAGCAAAGGACCCTTTAAAAATTATCTGCATGGAGCCACACTTGGAAACAACTATCCATCCCTGATGGAGTGCAGGGATGAGTGCAGTGAAATTCATCCCTGGCTGTACAGCACTGATTTAATTCACCTCCAGGCACGTGTCCCTGCTACATGGTGCCTTCTGCTTTGGGACCAGAGAAGGAAGAGGTGCCGCTTACTGCCCCACAACTTTGTGCACAATGCTGCTAGCAAGTGGAAAGGAAAAAGGACAGTAATGCTACAAGGGAAGAGGGAACACACTCGAAGAAAAAAAACCTTCCGAGGAATGATATACTGAGCCTGGCTATAAATAATACCTTGCCCTTGGTCCCAAAGTGCCAGCTAATGCCTTTGCAGCTCCTGGAGTACATTGCAGGCATCACATACCAGCTCTATTTTTTGCTATGCGTGAATAACTCTGTGCAAAAGAGTGGGGGTTTATTTTTATTTGTATCTTGTTTTTTAAAACAGAATTTAGCTACTTATTTAGTGGTCTGCATGTGAAAGCCATAGAATATTCCCATCAGCTCCCGCCCGGGGAATGCCCTCCTTGAGCAGTCCCTCAGCAGCCCCCAAAATCCTCAGAGCTCTTAGGTACCAGTATCCCATGGCAACATGTGGGAACTGAGGACCCACTGGGAGATGTCGGTGGTGAGGGGCTCCTGGACCCTCGGGCGAGGTTTCCGGATGGCTGTGGGGCTTCCCTCGCTGCCTCACACCATGGCAGCCGCTTCGGTCCAGCTTGAGATTAGACAACATGAGTTACCAAGCCAAGGGAAGGGAGTTAAGGAGTGTTAAGCCCTCACTGTTGCAGGAATGAGTTTAGCATGATCTAAAGCTCTCTCCAACTGATACCAGCCAGCGTTGCACCCTACAGCACCTGCGCAACATGACCTCAGCCAGAGATGAGTCCTGCTCTGAAATGAGAAGGTTTGCGATGTTGAAGCAAAGCACTGCGTGAGGAGGAGGAGGAGGAAGAGAAGGAGGCAAAGACAGAGGAGAACGAAGGAAGGTGCAGTAATTTTACATGAGAGCTGGACTGCAAATCACAGTCCTGGCAGGCTCAAAGGTGATAGACGGCTGGGAGGCTTTTCTCCCCTTCCCATCCCTTCAAATCTGGACAAATCAGGTGAACAACTAACATGACTGAGCGAGCACCAGTATCCAAGGGAGGTTCAGGTGCCACCCCAAGGGCTTACCCCTAGCGAAACTGTGCACTGGACCGCAAAGGACAAGTGCCCTGGGAACATTCCACCCGTCATGCGGCCCGACAAACAGCTTGCAGAGAAAACGCCGTCGGCAAACGCGTCGAGTGCGGAACAGGAAAGAGCTGCCTAAGGGGAGAAAGGAGAGCAGGGGAGGTGAACAGATTAAAAAGCAGCCTGACAAGTGGCTGAGGGAACTGAGGAGCAAAGGAGGAAACGGAGCCAGGCAGAAATGCGTGAGACAGGCAAAGTGCGGAGAGAAATTGAGGAAAACAAAGCCGCTTTAAGAAACTCAAGAGCGATACAGCACAAGAAGAAAGAGAAGCAGAAATTAACGGAGCATGGCGAGGCTGCCCTTCGCCTGGCTTAGCTTCTCCCTGCTCCCAATTAGCACGGATGAGCCTAGAGACAAGTCATCACTTGTACCACAGAAACAACTACCCTTGGAGATGCCCAAACACTTCCTGATGACCACGCAGCTGCTCCTGCAGAACGCACCTAGAGGAAAACACTTTTAACAGGCAGCTCCACCTTGGGTCCAGGGAGAAGAAACACTAAACTGACCATGGGGATGAAGCAAACAAGAACCTCAAACTGGCTGCAATGCCTGCTTGAGTAGCTGCAAGCCACGTATATCTGGTAGTCAGCATGAAAATGAGCCCTACTATTATAAGAAGAAGAAAAAAACAACCCAAACCAAGTGAAAACAAAAACCCAGGGAGCTTTAAGCACTTGTCAATCAAAGCAGCTCAAAAGACACTGCTAGGTTGGACACAGCTGTGGGCTGAGTACAGGTGTGGGCAGCCAGGAGGGAGCCAGCACACAGGCTTCGTGATTCCTGAGCGTGACTCCTACGCTTGCACTTTGTTCCTGCCTCTTGCCTGAGCTCTCAAGGTCCTTTGCAGGCACGTCACCACCTTTCTTCCCCCCCTCCATGGCAGCTCTTTGTAGTGTTCTCCAGGAGCTCTGCCTTCCCCACAAGGACTTGTCTTCTGCAGTGGTGAAGGCTTGGTATCTCCAAGGAGCAATGCAGAGACTGTGGTCCTCGAAGACATCTCTCCCACTGCATCTCCCACACCCACACGTGGGTTCTGTCTGCAAATCCTCTTCCCCAGGGGACTGGGGAAACCAGCCCCATCAGCCAACGACTGAGACAGTTCATGAGGACATTTAATTTTTAACATCATGAAGGGCTCTTTTGTTTTATACATCAGAGGCAAAGAGCATCCAAGAGAAACAAGGCTCAACTGAGCCCATTGTATAAATGCAGTGAGGACAGAGCTGGGCACAGTGAGGTCGAAAAGCTCCTTTGTTTTCATCTGGCTGGGGAGAATTTGCTTTAGCTTTAAATGTGCATTTTAAGGTCAATGTGAGAAGAACACACCACATGGTCCTCACCTAAACCCACAGATATTTCCTTTCTGCTTCCCCATTTCCCCCATATCCACATTTATTGATGCATCAGGCTGGGATGGGCTCAGGATTTGTAACAACAGGGGGAAAAAAGCAGGGAGGGATTTTTCTATCTCCTGGCTCTCATTCCAGAAGGTTTTCCTTCCCCCCTCAGCCCTGCTGATGGAGGCGGCGTAAGTCAGCTGCACTGAGCTGTAAATAACCGAGCTCTGGAGCAGTCACGTCTCCATAGTTAGCAGCATCCATTTGTGAAGGCTATAATCTGCTGAATAAATGAGCTTCAAAACCTGGCTATACCAAGGCTGAGCTGCCTCCAAGCACTCCTGTCTCGTATGTCCCGGGGACTCCCATTCCCGTGGGAAAAATGGCATCGGGAGCTGCAGGAATGCAGGAACATCCCACTAGAGCCATGTGGTACCTCCAAAATCCCACTTGGCCTTTAGGTGCTGCCCAGACATGGAGCAGGGTGTGATCTCCATCTTCCCGTGTCTCCCCAGCTTCTGCATCCAAAATTCATCCTTGCAGCATGCGTGTGCACTGACTTCTGCGTGCGAAGATATCTTCTGCTGGAAGGAGGCACCATCCCACGTGGTGTTTACTTCAGCACTACCACCCGCGGAACTCTTGATGAATGCCCTTCCCTGCTGAGAGGAGCACTGATTGCCTGTTAAAAAATGTAACTTTAAGGATCCTTAATTTGCCTCTTCACAGGGAACATCCAGAGAGCAGTGGTGAGGAAGTGATTGGAGGGAAGGCTTTTTCAGGCATCCCACTTTGACTGCCCTGGGATTGATGTCCTGGAGAGTCCCAGCAAATGTCTACCCGTGTTCAGCTTACTGAGAGTTAGCTGCAAAAAACCCAAGCTGCTCGTGTATTTCATCAGAAAAACAGTGCTGGCCCTGAATTGTTACAAAAATTTCGGAAAAATTACTGGACTTTCTTCCGTTGCACTTCTTAGAGCTGCAGTCTGGGCCAAGAGCTCCAAAAAACAACTGGCTCACAGCTCCAGAAAATAACTTGGTGGACACCACCTCCTCTTTCTCCTCCTGTCACCACTGCAGAGTCTGTACATTTGCCATGGTGATGGTTCACCAGCAGAAAGCCCTGAGCTTTCTCTGCAAGAAAAGTTTTACATTTCACATCACCATCCCCTCTGCATAATTGTTTAGTCTCTGGCCATTTTCTCCTCAATTTTCTGGGACTTTTTGGGCTCGTCATGCAGCAAGCCCCAGGGGGAGATGAAGGCAGGGAGGACTGTGGAGCCTGAGAACACTCAGCACTGCAGGCTGGCATGGCACAGGAGGTCAAAGCAATGCCAGCGCTGATGGACCTGGTTCCCAGGCATCATGACGGAGCCTGTCGGCATTTTTTGCAAGCCTCGCCGTCCCGGCCCTCTGCCATTCGACCTCTGGTATGTGTGCGCTGGGAATATATGGAGAGTTTGGGACAGCAAGTCTCGAGTTTCATTTTTGGGGAGATCCCACCAAGGTGGACTCACATGCCGTGTCCTTCTGGGCTTGCTGGGTTCCTCCAGACACAGCCGGAGCAGCCCCAGGCCATCAGCTTCATGAAGATGAATGCTCCTCATCCAGCGCCTGGACTGTACCCCCCGTTTGCAGTCTCACCCAAGAAGGAAGCCCTTGATGGAGACTCTTATATAGGATGGGAACTGGAAACATGTTGGTTTGTGAACCCTTCCAGTGGCACCCACTGGGTGCTGTTGGAGGGGCTGCCAGACCCACTCAGCACAGCTGTAGCTCACTGCTGTTCAGCAAATGGGGGAACTGCATTCCCCCAAGCCCACGACACCCCTTGATGGTGCTGGATGAACAATGAAACTATTTGACTACGCGCGCAGAGTAGTCACCACCAGCCCATCCTGGCTACAGCTGGACCAGCAGGTTTTTTTTCAGTGGATAACAT